TTCATATAAGATCAACACGTCTATCCAGAATATCATGTCCGACATCATAAGTTTTGGAGAAGTGCATATCGAAGTTAAATCTTACGATATTGTTCTCATTAGGAAAAAGGCCAAACAAGCCCAAATGATGGTTCCAACCGTTCAATCAAGATCCATTGAAAATATAAAGCTACCGAAACACAAAACCATTGACCTTCAAGGTGCCAACATCTACGGATGTTGCATTCGGCCGAATGGCACAACGATGTTTACGTACTACTATGAAAAGACAATTAAAATATACAGCAAGGACGGTTTAAAGGCTTTGAGGTGCTGATACCGTGTAACGCGTTTGATGTATTGTACCTCAAGGAGGAGAATGCATTGGCTGTCACATCTGGTAGTTCAAAGAAACAATGTAGTACCGTTATAGACTTGGAGAAGAAACAAATCAAGAAAACAATTTCACTTGATTCGAAAAATTATGACATGGCACAGAAAGATTATCGATTGATTTATTGTACCGACGACAAATGTATGCGAATGATAAATCTGTACAACGAGTCTATCTATAGGTGACATAGTTAGAGACACCTTGCCCAATTTCTGTCACACTGCAACATTTAGGAACAACATATATCATACAAATAGAGAAACAAGCACTGTAACATGTTATAATCTACAAAGTGAAATACAGTGGAGATTCCAAAATGAAATCGTTATGGAGTCTCCTCGTCGTATTGATGTAGATAATGATGGTAATATGTACGTGGTGGGGTTCTCCTCGAACATTGTTGTAGTTATCTCACCTGATGGACAACGGCATAGAGAAGTATTGACAGCAAGTGATGGTCTTTATTTTCCTTGTTCACTTCATTATAGTGAACCAACGAACCAATTGCTAGTCGCGAACAACAATTACACGGCTCATTTGTTTAATATCATTTGAACAAGTGAGAGGTGTAGCTAGCTTTAAAACCAGGTTTAATCCACCATTTTATGCATAAGAAAATGCCTGTACCAAGTCAGGAATATGACAGTTTGATTACGGACTTTCCGTTTTGGATTTTCCTCGGAGTTCGGTATTTTTGTTATTTTAATTTGAACTATTTCACAGTTAAAACTTCTCGCCCTTTAAATCATTCTGCGCAGTGTTAATAATAACTTGATTTTGGAAGTCTATTTTGTTACTTTGTTGCAGTATTATGTAGTGTGTGTTTGAAACATAATTATACATCAATTAAATATAGTTTTTAAGCTTATAATGTTAATTTATGTATTTTTATTCTTATAAATTTAATGAAATGGGAACACCTGTATTCATATGAAATAACAAAGGCCATCTTCACATACTTAACTATGATTATAATAAAGATTAAATTATCATGAATCAGAAACGAAAGTTGCCAGTAAATAAATTTAATGAAAATAAGACAATGAGATGCGCTGTGATTGCAAATGAGACACATATCTACCAGAGACCAAATGACTTACTTGTTGGTAGATATAGGCCTGAGAGTGTTTATACTATCAATAAACTACCACCGACACCTAATTCTCCAGATAAAAAATATTTTACATGAGAAAATACAACCACTGACAAACTTCCTTACTTAGGACAGGCACATGCACATGTGGCGAGGTAAGACTTATATAAATCGCCAATGGAATAACAAAAGGTACATGAAATTACAAAAGCATTATATATGAATATATGTAGTTACAAAATTAATGATAACGACTGTATAATACAACATGTTAGTTCAAACGCATATGCTTCAGCTGTCAGGTCACGTTATAGGATGTAATCTGTTCTTTTAAAAGTGTGAATGATTGTCAACATCACTTGGTTTGGTGTTAAGTTGAGAGACAAAAAATGTTGACATATGTCATGTTTTAGCGATCACCTTTAAGTTTGTAGGACGTAGTCTGTGCGTTTAGTATTTTACATGATAGATCAACATCATTTGGTTCCTTGATTGGTTAAGAAGAAGATATGTCAGTGACATATGTCATACTTCAGCGGTCAGGTTTAAGTTTGCAGGATATAGACTATTTATAAGTTTACATGATAGGTCAACATCATTTTGGTTTGTAGATTTCATGTAAGGAACAGGTGTTCATCTGATATATGTCATATAACCTTGACCTGAATTTTGTTTGTTAATATGATGTCATAATGAAGTCTGTTTCTTTCTGACTATACATGATCGACTTACAATATGTATGAGGATTGTTTGCAATGAGGTTATGTCAGTTTGACATATGTCATAAATAGATGTAAGAAGATGTGGTATGAGTGCCAATGAGACAACTCTCCACCCAAGTCACAATTTGTAAAAGTAAACCATTATAGGTCAAAGTACGGCCTTCAACACGGAGCCTTGGCTCACATCGAACAACAAGCTATAAAGGGCCCCAAAAATGACTAGTGTAAAACCTTTCAAACAGGAAAACCAACGGTCTAATCTATATAAAAAACGAGAAACGAGAAACACTTATGAACCACATCAACAAACGACAACCACTAAACATCAGGTTCCTGACTTAGGACAGGTGCAAACAAATGCAGCGGGTTTAAACGTTTTCATAGGCGGCAACCTTCACCCAACCTGAAACAATAGTGTAACATAACAACTTAGAAAGACACACTATAAAATATCAATTGAAATTGAAATGGCTTAACTCAATCAAAAGACATATTAACAAAAACAATTGAACATGCACTGAAGGAATACATTTGATCTATGAAACAATGTAAATACAAAATTAATAAAACAAGGTGGTTAGATTTAAAACAATATCAGAAAGACAACCATAACCTTGGACAAAATGCCGCCAAATAAAATAACGTACACAGGTAAATAAAAATAAATGTGTTGTAGGTTTACATGGAGTACAGAAATAATTTTTACAAAATAAATAATTTTGTTCTGCCTAGTACGAGAACAAAAGTGAAAATTTATCGTCATACTAAACACTTATCAAAGGTGGTATATATCAAAAATAGTGAGACTAGATATAACACTGAATTAATAAACATTAAATAACAAAAATACATTACAAATTGTATGACCTCAAATTCATGCTTTATCTTTCACAACATGTAATAATTTTATAAGCTTAAAGTCTGTTTCTCAGTTATTAATATTGATAGGTCAGCAAAACTCCACACAGGCAGAGTTGACTGGTTAGGGTGAAGGTTGGCGTCTTTTAATACGTTTAAACTCGCTGCATTTTTATGCACCTGTCATAGCTTAGGAGACTGTTGTTCAGTGGTTGTCGTGTATTGGTGTGTTTCATAAGTGTTTCCAGTTTTTATATAGATTAGACCGTTGGTTTTTCTGTTTGCATTGTTTTACACTAGTCATTTTGGGGCCCTTTATAGCTTGCTGTTCGGTGTGAGAAAAGGCTGCGTGTTGAAGTCCATACTTTGACCTATAATTATTAATGTTTTATACATTGTGACTTGGAGTGAGAGTTGTATCAGTGACACTCATACTACATCTTCTTGTTTATTTTTTATGAATTTGTCTATTCGCTTAAGATTACACTTGGTCGTATAACTCCATGCGTATTCTGTTGTTTTATACATCTTCTGCTTTATATATTTTGTTTTTGAACGTTCCTGAACAAGTTAAACCCACAAAAGTTCTTTAGAAGCACCAAATGTGTATAGTGTTTATTTCGTATTTATTATCAATATTAATATCAGCAGAAAATTCAAGTATTAAAGTAGGAGAGAAATTTTGGTGTCTCCAATAATTCTAAAGGAACTGGCACATATTTCACTGTAAGATTTACAAATATACCTTAATGTGGTATCAGTTAAAATATCTCCAAAATAATTTATATATAAAACCATGAATAGTAATTTTAATTATGGCACAGTCGAAAATAAAAAAAGTTGACTCGTTCACAAAAAAAGAAAATGACGAAAAATGTATTCACGAAATACTGAAAAAAATATACATGCATAAGATCTTTAAAACAGAGAGAAATCAAACCTGAAATATGCATTTCAAAATGCAGTGGCGGATTCAAGGATTGTAAACGTACGGTGTGCGCATCTTTTAAATCAGACGTTATTTCGTGTTTCCCATGAAATCGTTAAAACAATCACCTTGCTACACTTGAATTTGTTTTTACCATTTTGGCCATTTGTAGATCTGGAAATTTTTTCTCTCTTTATACTTTATTCTTTGCCAAAAAATGATTGATATCGACATTTAAGGACAAACACTCCAATACGCAAGGAGTCGACTGATAATCTCAATCATGTTGACTTATTTCTGGATATGTAACCATTTTTTATAAATGTCTAGGATACAATTTCAAGTTTGATATAGCAAAAAATCAACAATATTGGTAAACATTGTAAGTTTAGGTCAGTAACTCCTATACTTAACTGACGAATGATTATTGGCTTGAAACTTTTTTAAATAAATAATCAACTGTAATTTATTGACTTTTTATTTTATTTTTTTTGTTTGTTTTTGTTTTAATAGTATATAAACTTTCTTGACGCTACTACTTGTCCTTCATATTTTCTTCTTGTCGCTAATTAGTGTGACCGGATTTGTTTGTATAGGCTGTCTCCCTGATAATGTGTGCTGCTTTAATTTTTTTGCGTCTACTAGTCCTCAAGATAAAGTAAAAAAAAACATAAGCTGCGAAATTTCAAAGAATAAAAAATTCCGAGGCAATAACCGCCAAATGGGGATGTTCAAATTATCTGAAAATTTCAACGTGGGTGATCTTAATCTGCTGATCATTTCATCCTGTCAGTTTAACTTCTTTAGTTTAAAAGATACCGGAAAAAATCCGTATGGTTTTCACAAAAATTCCGGTTTGCTTATTCTGAAATACTGAAATAAATAAAAACAAACAAACATCGAAAGATATATAGAAATATCCACAATGATAAGGTTTATTTCCAATGCAAAACAATCATACTTGTTAATATGTATTTGAAATTCAAAAATCGCGGCTCTTAACACTTTCTAAAACAGTCACATGATTAATGACCTTCCTCGTAAACAAGACGGGAGCAAAAGGTAATTTTTAGGATTTACTTGATATTTCCACGATAAATTTTTTCTTTTGTTACGTTTTCAATTCTTCCCAATAAACTAATGATTTAAATACGTGAAATTTGTATAATGATTTATCTAACTTTCGTTTTAAGCTTGGACATAATCCATATTTATCTTCATTTGTGTTATGTCCCAGTTCTAGGGCAAGTTATTGTTTTCGTCCTTAATATCTTTATTTTTACACGAATCTGAATAGTAGTATACCAATCATTGAAACTACATATATACACGTTCACGGACTCATTCATGTAGCAGGAAATGGAACTTTATTTGGTATATATATATATATCACTGATTTATATCAGAACACAGGTAAAGGTTCTCATATGTTTACACCAAATGTAAAATCAAAAAAAGCCAAATCACGTAAATATAATCATTTAACATATTCTTTCGTATGAATTCTTTAAATTATTTTAACAACTTATAGCTACAAAAAAAATGTCAAGAACCGTAGCTCTCTATCTTTATTGTGTACAACTACAACAAGTACATATATATATATATATATATATATATATTCTAACCAATACAGGTTGTAATTTATTCTCCTTTTTGTCATGAAACAAAAAAGGAAATTGAAGCTTTCTAATGCATAAACACGATAAAGTACTCAATTGATTTATCTATTTGTCTACTTTACCAGGATTCTTTTAAATATCTTTGTCCTGCTGAGATGTGCTGTGATGTGAAAATAAGTTTGGTGGTGTAATAAGTTTATCATTATATTTATTTGTAATTGATTAACAATGTATATATCAATATTATCAAACTAACACTTTCAATCAAGTGATCGATGAAAATAGCTGGCTTATATTAGGCTGAAATCAAGACTAATTATATTTAGTTGCCAACCCAATACGCAAAATAACTATTTGAGACCCTAAAATACTGACCTTTATATTTAAAGCAAATCTGAACTGAATTTGTATATATATTTCCATAATCTTTTCTAAAAAGTTAAAGGTCCGATTTTATCAATTCTAAATATTTGAAACTGGACTCTACACAAGCTTCTATCATTCAAATTCATTTTCATTTTGGATATCGAAAACTGTAGACTGAGATAAATGAGAATAATTTCTATGGATTGATTATTGATATTAAACCCCATTTTCAGTACTCATGGCTATATTATGAAACCTGTTTTAAATTGATGTAGAAAACCAGAGTGCCTGAGTCAACGCACTTCGACAGGGAACTAAATTAAGCTAACTGGTTTGATGTTGGGGGTTGATTGAGGTGCTGTTGTTTTAAACTTTTAAATCAGCTATTGTTATTTGCAGTGTGTGTAAAATGGCAACAGCTACTAAAACCTGTGGTGTTTGTGAACTCCGTCACATCACTAAACCATCCATAGTTTGGTGTTCAGAATGTGATGAGGGACTATGTACCGAATGCAAGGAACATCATAGCTTGTCTAAGTCATCGAGAAGCCATTGCGTGATATCTTTTACTGAATACCAGAAATTACCAGCTGATGTACTTAAAATTACTCAGTACTGTACCAAACACGATAAAAAGTATCAAATGTTTTGCCAGAAGCATGAATTTCCATGTTGCAGTAAATGCATCGTGGAAAGCCATAAAGAATGCCGAGATTTTGTTGATTTAGATGACGTCATTCACAATGTCAAAACCTCCAATGCAATGTGCGAGATAGAGGAAACATTAGTTGAAGTAGCAGAAAATCTACAAAATATTCGCCAGCATCAACAGGACAATTTGACGACATTTAAAGAAAGTAGAAAGGAAATAGAAAAAGAAATAAAGACGACCAGAATAAAGATCAATAACCATCCCGACAAATTGCAAGAAGATTTATTGAAACAACTATATGTGGTCGAAGAAAAAGAAAACTTGAAAATGTGTGAGTTATTGTCATCATTAGAAAATAAAGAAAAGGAAATAGCAGATTGCCAGAGAAATATAATGAACATCAAGCAACACGCAACGGACCTTCAGATGTTCTTGTCAATAAAGCAAATAAAAGAGGACGTCTACAGCAAATATGAATTCCTGCAGTTGCTTGATGAAGTCAAGAATGTCAAGCAAACTTCTCTTTCATATAAGATCAACGCCTCTATCAAGAATATCATGTCCGATATCATAAGTTTTGGAGAAGTGCGTATTGAAGCTAAAACTTGCGATATTGTTCTGATTAGGAAAAAGGCCAAACAAGCCCAAATGATGGTACCAACCGTTCAATCAAGATCCATTGAAAATATTAAGCTTACTATACAGAAGACCCTCGACACTCAAGGAAACTCAACCTTGGGATGTTGCATGCTGTCGGATGGTAGATTGGCATTTACTTACTACTATGATTGGAAGGTTATTGTATTTAATATGAAAGGATTAAAAGACTTTGAGGTTAAGATGCCATGTAACGTTTATGATATAGTGTACATCAGTGAAGACAATGCATTGGCTGTAACATCTGGTGGTTCATCGAAGAAGTGTATTTTTATTATCGACTTGAAGAAGAAACAAATCAAGAAAACAATTTCACTGGATTCGCATATTTATGGCATAGCATCGAACGGAAATAGATTGGTTTATTCCGCTTACGACAGAGGAATAAGAATGGTCAATCTGTACGACGAGTCTATAAGTGATGTAGTTCGAGACAAAATGCCTCGTGACTGTTATACTGCTACATTTAGGGACAACATATATCATACAAACAGACAAACAAGTTCTGTGACATGTTATAATCTACAAGGTGAAGTACAGTGGACATTCCAAAATGAAAACGTTCTGAAGACTCCTCGTGGTATTAATGTAGATAATGATGGTAATGTGTACGTGGTGGGGTGTGGATTGAACAATGTGGTAGTCATCTCCCCTGACGGAAAACAACATGGAAAAGTATTGACAGCAAGTGATGGTCTAAGTGATCCCGTCTCACTTCATTATAATAGTGGACCACTGAATCAGTTGCTAGTCGCAAACTTACACAACAAGGCTCATTTGTTTAATCTTATTTGAAAGCAAAAAAATAGTTAAAATTACTCATTCTCAGGTGATTCTGTGAAATGTTTATTTTTTACAGGATTTTGGAAACCTAATTCGAAAACTATATAATTTGTAGTGCTTTTTTGAAAGAAAATTCCGCATCCAATTCGATAAAGTTGTTAAGCTGGTAATATAGAAATCGTTTATCTTTTCTTTTATGTAATAGCTACAAGAGTTTTAAAAAGGTGTTGGTCGTTAAGCTGAAACAAAGACTTTATTAAAGAATGTTCATAGTTTTAAAAATGAGGAAACCAGGCGGAAACTAAGCTTAACTGAGGCGGAAAGCATGCGTAAAATTAGGCGTAATATTTAAATGAGTACGCTAGGTCGACAGAAAACCAGGCGTAATATGCAAATGAGTACGCCTGGTCAATAGATAAACCAGGCGTAATATCCTTACATAATACTACACTTAATTTAAATCAGTGTATTACCTTAGCTGTGTACTTTGTGTATTTGATACAAACTTGTATTGTATGATGGAAACCGCGCTACTAGCGCAATTCAAGGGTATAACGAAATACCGGATGTCTGTTTGTTCGTGTGTTTGTGTGTCCGTGCGTTTTGGTCCTCTGTGAGCTCTTACACGTACAATTCCAGCCAGATATTTTATCGGCAATGCCTTGGACGAGTTCGGAAGTCAGTGGCGATCAAATATTTTCAAAGGAGTTGTGCCCTTGAAATAAACATTGATTGGAAAATTGCATTGTAAGCACTCTCTTGTCTATATTTTTTGTAGGATTATTATAAAATCAATTGTGTTAAACAACGATGTCGCAGGCGAGGTCTTTAAGCAGTGTAGTTCTCTGGAAATCAAGACTCATTGTAGATCTTTTTTCAGCTGATTTTTTCCTTTTTTTTTTCAAACTGAGACTACCTTTACTATGTGTTATAGTAGTCTCAGATTAAAGATACGTTCTATCAATTGCTGTTTTTAAGGTTATAGAAAAAAATGTTCTTCTTTAATTTTCTTTCTATCTACTAGTTTTCAAGATAATAGCAAAAAAACCCGAAATTTTGTAGGAATGAAAACATTTAGAGGCAATAACCCCAAATGGGTTGTCCTATTTTTTTGATATTTTCAATGTAAATGTATTTTAACATGTTGATCATTTTCACTCTCTCATTTAACTGGTTTAGTTTTTGAGATACAAAGCAAAAATTGCATGTGGATCTCAACGACAAAACGTATGGTTTGTCGTATTCTGAAATAATGAAATAAATATATAAAAAAAAAGAATGAAAAAGCAAAGTCGAAAGAAAGTAAGGAATATCCGGAATGGTCAATTTACGATTATTTTTAATACACCCTATCGAACTTGTAAGTGTGTAGATTAAATTTGAAAATTTCTGAAAATTCCTGCATTTATCAGTTTCTAAATCAGTCACTTTATTGATAACCTTCCTGATACACCACGCGGTGGGAATGAATATTTAACATAAAAAGGTAATTAGTAGGATTTATTCGATACTTCCTGGATTTATTCTTCTTTAGTTACGTTTTCTATTCTTCTAAATATACGTATGATCTAAATTTGTGAAATTTGTGAAAAATTTATTATTTTAACTATCGTTCTGAGATGGGACATAATATAAGTTTATCTTCATCTATGTTATGTCCCTGTTTTAACATATACGACGTGTCTCGGTATTTTGTACATCCAACAATCATGTATTTATTTTTGATGTTTCTGTTATGGTTTCGGTTAAATAATGTGTTATGTCTTATCGTTTGTTGTCCAAATAATTATAGAATTGCTCTTCAATACCATCATTGTCATATTCCCGAATATGACTGTTTTACCGAGTGTGAATTTGCATTGCTATATGACGTGTCTCGGTATTTTGTACATCCAACATTCATGTGTTTATTTTTGGTGTTTCTGTTGTGGTTTCGGTTGGATAGTCTGTTATGTCTTATCGTTTGTAGTCCAAATAATTATAAAATTGCCTTTCCATAACATCATTGTCATGAAAATTGTTTGGACGAGTATTGAGAAAATAATTGTATAAAGTCCGAGATTGCATGTTCGTTACGTACACAGGAAAAATTGCAACATATGTTTTTCATATGTTTTCAAAACATATGAAAAACATATGATTTTCTGTTTTTCATATGTTTGTCCCAAACATATGAAAAACATTTGTTTACATATGTTTTGAAACATATGAAAACATATGGAAGCAAACATATGTTTTCATATGTTTTAAAAAATATGTTTACATATGTTTGTAAACATATGAAAAACATATGATTTTCATATGTTTTCATATGTTTTAAAGGACATTTAAAAAAAAATGTTTTGAGAAAATGTCAAAATTTGTCATTTAATTATCACATACATTTTTTTCATTCATTATCTATATAGTGTATTTCTCAAACAGGAAAGTGCACTTTCTACTCTTCCCACTAAATCACACATCATCATGATGATATAAGCATGTCAGCCCTCAGGCTATGTGACCCCCACAGCAGAGCTATCTAATTCTGAATGGAACATAATGTAAAATAAATGAATGAGTTATAAATATTAAATAATAATATGAATAAATATTCTTTATTTAGTTTGTTCTTTATTCTCAATTCTTTTTTTTTTTTATCAATAATCCCATTATTCTCTATGATTCTTTATTCCATATTTCTGCTTTTTTTAGTATCTGTTCTTTATTTTTTTTTCTTTATTTTGCACTTTTTGTCATTATTTTCTATATTCTTAAACCCCAATCTTGATTCCAGACCATCATATATATATATATATATATACGTAAATGTACGAAAGCTTGCATGGTGCGTCGAATACGGAAACCCGGAAATCTTTTCACCGTTACCATTTTTTATTTTATGACGCAAAATCCATGGGCACGAGGATAAAAGCTTATGTGAACGGTTACTGCCAGTCACCACTTATAAAAAAAGTAGTGCTGCATATATCTACGCGTATGATCATATACAATTTTATAGGTGCCTGCAGGTCACACCATATTTTATCTGTATCAAATGTGCCTGCAGGTCTCACCAAAAATGTATCTGGACAATAGGTGCCTGCAGATCACATCACTTAAGACCTGTAACATAGCTTATCATTTGAGTCTGCAGGTCAGACTGCTTATTATCTGTACCATAGCCTATTATATATGCCTGCATGTCACACTTTGATTTATATATCTGTATGGTAGGTGCCTGCAGGGCACATCACTTTAGATTTGCACCATATATATAAAAGGAAGATGTGGTATGATTGCCAATGAGACAACTCTCCACAATAGACGGCCTAATTTAAGTACAAAATAATAAACGAAAAACAAATATGAAACACAGCAACAAAAAGTAAAATCACAAAAATACTGAACTCCGAGGAAAATTCCAAAAACGGAAAGTCCCTAATCAAATTGCAAAATCAAATGCTCAAACATATCAAACGAATGGATAACAACTGTCATATTCCTGACTTGGTACAGACATTTTCTTACGTAAAAAAGGGTGGATTGAACCTGGTTTTATAGCTAGCTAAACCTCTCACTTGTATGACAGTCGCATATAATTCCATTATGTTGCAAACGATGCGTAAACAACACAAACAGACATAATAGGTAAAAATGTCAAAAATACAGCAGTCAACATTGTGTTAAAATCTTAATCACTAAAAAAACAAACAAATATGTAACAAAGAAGCACAAAATGGCATATAGACCGATCACATTAGCATAAATTAAAGAAAAGAATACACAAATTTACCATAGTACAATAACACGATGACGGGATGTATAAGTACAGAGCTACGTCATATATGTAACAAAGAAACATAAAAAGGCATATATAGACAAAGCACATTAGCAAAAATGACAGACAATAATACGAGAATAATTGTATCATAAACAATAATGACAGAATGTACAAGTACCACAAGTATCTTAATCACAATAAAAACAAACAAACATTTAACAAAGAAGCACAAAAAGGCACACATCAAATTTAACAACCTCATTCATTGCTCCCTTATATTTGAATTTTATTTATTATAAGTATGTCAAATCCACCAATTAACGATTGAAAGATCTTAAGTACTAGGAGCGAATGGCCAGATTAACACTGACTCTAACGTAGAATCGCGCGTTTGATGTCAGAATGTAAACGTCACACAGGTAGAGATATAAAATAACATTGTCGTTCAAAGTATGAAAATAATATAGTCTATACTTCTTTAGGCATATCCTCTGCAGAATGTAAATTAGAAGTTACCTTTCCTTCTTGCAACTGACAAATGACAACCACTGAATTACCGGTTCCTGAATTGGGACAGGCACTTACAGAATGCGGCGGGGTTAAACCACTTGAAGGCGCCAACCCTCTCATAACATGGTATCGTGGTGTAACAGTAGAACATAATAACAAACTATAAAAACAGTTGAAAAAGGCAGGTCACATCAAATAAATAGAAATAGAAAACATCTTACAAAACACAAAGTGGACGTTGATGGTTACTTGTTCATGCGAATAACAAAAATACTCTAAGTACAGATCTGAGAGTACTCGCCTTTCACAGGAGCCTGAGGGTCAAACTGCTATGCATTAGTACCAAAAATGCATGCAGGTCACATCACCATAGATCAAAGCCTATAATGGGTGTCTGCAGGTTTTACAGCTTTTTAACTGTACCTTAGCCCATCAGACGTGCCTGAAGGTCACATCACCATAAATCTTCACTATAGTCTAGCATGGGTGACTGCATGTCACATTGCCTATTTATCTGTACCAAAGACTATAATAGGTACATGCAGGTCACATCACCATAGATCTGCACCATAGTCTATAATAGGTGCCTGTCGGTCTCTTCACTACAGATCTGCACTATAGCCTATCATAGGTTCCTGTAGGTCATACGACTGTTCATCTGCACTATAGCCTATCATAGGTTCCTGTAGGTCATACGACTTTTTATTTGCACTAAAGCCTATCATAGGTTCCTGTATGTCACACGACTTTTTATTTGCACTATTGCCTATCATAGGTTCCTATAGGTCACACGACTTTTTATCTGCACTATAGGCTATCATAAGTTCCTGTAGGTCACACGACTTTTTATCTGCACTATAGCCTATCATAGGTTCCTGTAGGTCACACGACTTTTTATCTGCACTATAGCCTATCATAGGTTCCTGTAGGTCATACGATTGTTCATCTGCACTATAGCCTATCATAGGTTCCTGTAGGTCACACGACATTTTATCTGCACTTTAGCCTATCATAGGTTCCTGTAGGTCACACGACATTTTATCTGCACTTTAGCCTATCATAGGTTCCTGTAGGTCATACGACTGTTCATCTGAACTATAGCCTTACATAGGTTCCTGTAGGTCATACGTCTTTTTATCTGCACTATAGACTATCATAGGTTCCTGTGGGTCATACAACTTTTTATCTGCACTATAGCCTATCATAGGTTCCTGTAAGTCACACGACTTTTTATCTGCACTATAGTCTATCATAGTTTCCAGTAGGTCATACGACTTTTTAGTTGCACCATAGCCTATCAAAGGTTCCTGTAGGTCACACGACTTTTTATTTGCACTTAAGCCTATAATAGGTTCCTGTAGGTCACACGACTTTTTATCTGCACTATAGCCTATCATAGATTCCTGTAGGTCACACGACTTTTTATCTGCACTATAGCCTATCATAGGTTCCTGTAGGTCACACGACTTTTTATCTGCCCTATAGTCTATCATAGGTTCCAGTAGGTCACACGACTTTTTATCTGAACTATAGCCTATCATA